ATTATTTTTAAAATTTTTAACTAGTTGCAACTATTTATGAATTTTTATATTAAAATAAATTTACAAGGAGTTGTAACCAAGTTGCAACCTCTTAATATGATGCTCATTTTTAGTTACAGCTATTTGAACACTAGTCTTTGCTACTAACATCATAGTACTGAACTTAAGCTTTTTATTAAAATTTTCTCTAAATTGTATCAATCGGAATATTTCATATTAATAAAAATTCTTTTTATTATAATTAATTAGGATTACTTATTAATATAAAATATTATTACAAGTATTAAATAAATTTGATAAAATGTTACCAATCAGAATACACTATTTGTATAATATTAATTTAATAGATAATAATAAAAATATCTTAGAAAACTCTTTCTGCTGATCCACTTGACCATGTCTCAGCAATTGAAAAGTAAAAAACTTTCTATAATAACCTAAGCAAAAAGCACAACATGACCGTTCTAGCTCGCTAACAAATGAAAGATCTTCTAAAAAACTTCAATTTGATATCTTAGACTACTCAATACCTTTAATAAATAATGATAATGAAAATAATAAAACCAAAGAAATAAAAATAGAAGTCAACCCAATTCCTTCAACTTCTAGTGACAAGGAAAATAACCTGAAATTATTTCTTCAACTGACAATAAATAATTTCTTAAAACCTAAAGATTCTAATACTCATAATATTATTAACTTTAAAAAGGAAGACAATACTTTCATATTCTTTGCTTACTGTGTCAATGAAGATTTTCTTTCAGATCGATCAAATAAAGAAAAGATTAATGTAGCTAATGAAAATTTTAATAGACCTCAATTGATTTTATTCATTAGTGTATCTGTTAAACCTCACCCTGAAAATAAACAAACCAAAATTGTCTGATTGGTTTTTTAACACATATAAACTATAAACTTGCAATAATAATGCAGATTGTCCAATTAAGTAATTATACATTTTTTCCCTTAGATACAATAAATGTAATGTAGCTAAATTCACTTCTGAACTGTCGATCAAGATCACTGAGATTCCAATTTCTACATCAATCCAAATATCAAATCATTGTTTACCTTTTTTGATAAAATAACTTGTTGCGTAATGTCTACAAAAAATTTATAGTAACAGGCCATATTAACCTTTGAATAAGAAACAGATATGTCTCAATTAAATAATGTATATAGTTACTTTATCCTTAAAAACATGATATATGTATATCACTGCACTCTTGTAAATAATGATATTTAGGAAAAGTCCAAATATTCCCTAAAGCTTACCAACTTACTGATTGACACAATAGCCAGCAATTAATCCTAATTGGAAAAGCAGTTAAAAGCAATGGCATTTGTAATTCTAAAATTAAAGTCAAACTACAGAAACCTTTAATATGCCATTTTTTACTTTAAAATAAATAAGATTTAGATGATATACAAACGTAGACACTATCTATCTAGATTGAAAGAGACTTATTTGAATAGATCTAAGTAGTAAATTTTATTTCATTTGTTCTGTGTCAGGTTACTGCTCAAACAACTGCAGAAAAATCAGACATATTTCCAAAGATAAACAAACACAAAATTTATATCAATAGTACCAATCTGCTCAATTTAAGAATTATACTGCACCTTTTAAACCATTCTCTAAATCTCTCTCTTTTGTACATATGATGAGTAATAGAAAAGATAATGAACCAAAGAATTTCATAATCACATCCAAAGCTATTCTTTTACAATCAAATGCAAGGATTGATAGTCAAATTTCACATGATAATTTTTTAGATACAAGCATCTATACACATGAATCTTGAGCTGATAAAACTGAATATGTTCATTCTTTATCTAAAGGATATAGAAAATTGGTCAATTATATTCATGATCATAGTAACTCTAACAAATTAAACCAACTCATGATAAAATTAGATAAAGTTACCAGCCAACTTGAACAACTGCATGATGATTTCAGATTTACTAATGAAAGAGTTACCACTATGAAAATACTCTTAAATGTTTACTTCACCTCTCCTAAACAAGCTACCACTATCAAAGCCAGTCTAACTGGTAAAAAAATGAAAGATGACTATATTATGAAAGCTGATATTGACACTTCTGAATCAATTGTAATTTCACATAAAATTGATATTAATAATTTCAAAGAAGAGAACTCTTACCTCAAATGTAATCTATAAGAGAATATCACGAAATTAAACAAAGCTTTTAAAGCTATAGACATTATGCAACAATTGATAATATGTGCTGGGCAGCTCCATGAAAGTTGTAGAATAAACATTGGTGTTTTGAAGATTTTATAGACATACCTAATGAGAAATTCTTATCTAACATCTTATTATTTTAATGAATTATAATAATACAAATACTGGTGCCTCAAATATTACACTATCACATTCCTTTTTATTTACTCTTACTATCATAACCCATAATGTAATTTCACTTATGTGATTTCAATTCAATTATAAAATAATATAATAATTCAATGCTAATTATTTATTAATTTTGTTAAAAAAAAATATAAAAAAACATTGATACATTTTAACATTTTATTATTTTAGTAAATTTTCAAAAAAAAATAAAAAGATTACTAATATAATAATATTTTTTAAAATTACAAGTTGTGATAAGTCTGCTGCTAATACAATTATGAAAATATTCATAACTTTATAACTATTAATTCAATTATAATAAAAGTTTATATACACATATTTTTAAACCTGAACAACTTTATTTATGATTTCCTTTGACCAAGATACTTAAATTACTCTTTGAAATCACTATACAGATAAAAA